TTATATGATTATGTCCTGAATTTGTAAGCGAAGCGCCATTTTCCAAAGGAGATATCAAATTACAAAAACCAAGATATTACAAATACAAAAAATGCAAGAGTGAGTTAAATCAGTTAAAGAGTGAGTTATAAATCAATAAAGTATTGGGAAAAACTCAATAAATATTTAATTCTCCAGTGTGTTTGCCTCCAGATGTGTTGGATTACAATTCCAGTTCATTTTACCAAAGTTAAAGAAACTGAGGGGTGTATTTTTGCATCCTCCTTCTGGATATCACTCCCACAAATTCAGTTTCCTGTGTTAATAATATGCTTCTGTTGATGTATTTTCAAACTCTACTTGTTTTGCATAGGTTTTTGACAACAATTCCCAATGATATATTTACATTAGAAACCTTCGCCATTTTGTATCTCAGATTTGGATATATAATTGGGCAGAATGTTTATGTTTGTTTTTTTCAAATAGACCGCTAAAAATAATGAATTATACACACCATAAAAGAAACAGAGAGCCATCTACTGGCTGACACTGCTCATCACATTTATTTGACTGTGTAATCTTATGCATAGCATAGGTACCTATGAGTAGTTCCACTAAGCACAGTGGAATTTACTTTTGAGTGGATATGTATAGGATTATGCTTGCACTCCCCAACCTGGTAGTCTGAGATGGGCTGGGCTACAAATCCCACCATTCCCAGAAAGCTAATAATGCCTTGGAATATTATTCAGCTTTCTTTAAAGCTTTTTTTCAGAGCCACATAAATAAGCTGTTACTGTATTATGGGTTATATTATAAATACTGTATTATTTGACTTTTGATAACTCTATGAATGAGAAATCTCAAATAACCTCCTGTCTTTAACATCACTACTCTGTCCTTACAAATTCAGGGCTGTGGCTTTCTTTATTGGGCCAATCTATCTGTAGTCTGGTCTGTTTTCCTACTGCTTTCAACTTTTCACACCACTGCTGTCTTTTCCAGTGAGTCATTCTTTTTTACATAATATGCTCAAAGGACAATAACTTTTGTTCAAGCATTTTGGCTTTTATTACAAAAACTAGACTAGGTAGACTTGATTTGCTTATTTGTCTTTTTGGTGGTCCATGGTGCAGCACCACATTTCACTTGAATTGAGTTTTCCCCCTGCTATCAGTGCAGAACAACAAATATTAAGTGCAATTAGGTGTCTACTGAGTTACAGAACAGGGAAAATATTTGCAACACGACCAGAACCATGTAGTTCAGTGATATTAGACATTTAGTTCATACTAGATCTGCAAAGCAAGTAAACAGTGCTTCCAAAATACAAATCTTTTAAGGGCATAGCCAAAGAGAAAATGCCATTTGTGCACTGCTGTTCTGATATTATAATGCTTGTAAAGAATGAATACAATTTAACTATACTAATATATTGTTACTTTATACCATTGCACTGAGCATCACCCCATGAGTTTGAAAACTATAAAATGCTAAAGTGCTCCAGACATTTTGAACCATTACAAATTGAATGCTTTTTGCTTGTCATACTGTAATGTAGCTATTAAAAGCAAATCCAAAAGCTACAGTAAGGGAATAACTTTTAAGAGGATCATAAAAGTGTGATAAAGTGGTGAGCAAGCCTTTGCGTTCTTATGAACTCTTCTTCACAAGGCAGGGGTTAGAGGAGTTTAAGAAGACTAGGTGTGTTGACAAACACCCCAAAGACTCCAGTTTTTAAGAGTGTCACTATGGAACATGGGATTATATGTAGATTTTCAAGGTGATTCTGTACAAGTCTGTGTAGAAATAGGTCCCGCATTCAGTTAGACTAGGGGCCTTTACAGCTGCCAGAAATAATGCAGCTTGAGTCCACTTTAACTGCCATGGCTCACTGCTAGGGAATCATGGGAACTGTAGTTAAGTGGACTCAAGCTGCATTATTTCTGGCAGCTGTAAAGGCCTTTAGTCTTGGTTGCATCAATATAGGATTGTAATCTGAATTAGATATACCATGGAAAGTTCCAGATAGGGAAACCAGGCCAGCAGCATCTCATTTACCTGAGATTTTAGAGTAAAACCTAAACTTGAATTTGATGCCCTCCAGATGTGTGAATATGTGAGTTGCAGTCTAACACATTTAGAGAAAGAGGTTGGGGGAAACTGTGGTAGAAGATAAACTTTTTTCAGATTTAAGACTTTTCTCCTGAACTACTATCTTAATTAAAAGCTATATGGCATGGGTGAGGAACCTTTCATCCTTTTGCTAGGTGAACTCCCCACTGTCCCTTAGTATTAGCCTGTCTGAGGTTTCTGTGAGCTAAAGTTCAAATCATCTGTAAGAGAAAAAGTTTTTCACCCCTCACTGGCTACAATATCAGATTGTTGTTGTAAATGTTTTTGTGCTTTCAAGTTGTTTCTGACTTATGGCCACCCTGAACACAATTTGTTCAGAGGAGGCTTGCCATATCAGATAGGTACACATTAAAACTTATAGCATTAAAAAAAAAAAGCCTAATAGCATTAACTGGCATTATAGAATGGCACAACAAAACAATAACAGATTTGAGACTTTAAAAAAACTGAATAAAATGTTCATGCAAATCCATTAGAAGAGTCCTCTTTTAACAAGATTTCTGATTATTTGCTTTCCAAAATACATAAAGATATCAAAATCTGAAACTAAACAGGCAGAACCAATTGATGATATTGGAACAGTATATCACAGAATGTGTCTCAAAAATGTCTGGCCAATAAATCTGTTTGACAATTTAATTGGTGTAATTGATAAAATCCATGTAGTTCACCAGGGAGGAAATTAAATTATCCTATACAAATCTGATTCAGATTTAGACTAGAATTTTCTGGGGCAACTTTGTTTCATGCAAATTGTGTTACTGCTAAAACCCCCTTGATTTAGAATACGTTTGGGAAGCATTCCTATCAGAAGTATATTTGTTTCGCCTACCACATCATAAACTTCTATACTGGATTATTAGAATGGATTTAACTGCACTAGTAAAGTATAAATACTTCTAATGATAAAATGCAAACATTGTACACATGCAGGGCTTTGACCGCACTTCAACCCTAGAGCAGAAAATTAATTTACATCAAATTACAGAAGCTTTGATTACATTTGTCTCCTGCATATCAGGTCACCATTATTTTCCACTTTCAGGTAGAAAAATATAGTTGGCACAGACCAGAAGCAATTCACCGAATAAAACCTGATGTACACTTACTTAGGAGTCAACCACACTGAGTTAAACACAACTTGCTTCCAAGTAAACATGCACAGAGTTGAGCCCCACAATCAGGCAGGACTCAAGGTCTCTCTGTTCATTGTTCTGCACTGAACGTTAGCGTTTGTAAACTATAAAATGCTAAAGTGCTCCAGACACTTTGAACCAGGGGCAACCTACGGCCCGCGGGCCGGTTCTGACCCAGGTCCCCATACTTACTGGCCCAGGCGGACCCCTGCCGCCGCTGCTGCACACCGCTGTTGCCGCACATTTTGGTCGCTGTGCGGGCGTGCCACCGCAACCGCCATTTTGATTTCCAAAATGGTGGTCGTGATGCGTTTGTGCATGTGCAGCAGTACTGTGCATGCGCAAACGCATCGCGGCCACCATTTTGGAGAACAAAATGGTGGCCACAATGTGCATGGAGGTGGGTGCGGCAGCATGCGCAGCGGCGGCGGCAGTGGCAGCGCATGCGTGGTGGTGGTGTGTGTGTGCACGCGTGTGTGTGCACATGAGCACACGTGCCGCCATTCCCCCCCCCCTCAACCCAGCAGAAGAGGCAACTTCGGGGGACCGGCCCCCGGCTCAAAAAGGTTGCCTACCCCTGCTTTGAACCATTACAAATTGAATGCTCTTGCCTGTAATGTAAATTCAGATTTAAATGTCAGATCTAAATTAATCTGTTTGATAATAGATAGTATATTGGACAGACTGGCAATGATTCATATGTGACTTTGTGGAGGATCATCTGGCTTTCTATGTGGAAGGCTTTCAATTCCTGGTACCTTCAATCAGTACTAAGAGAGATCTTTGCCTACACTCTCACCATCTGTGCAACCAACACTGAGTGAAGAGTCTGATTTCAGTATCAGGTAGGTTCCTATCCTATAAGTACTAGGAACATTATCATTCCAGGCAGAACTTGGAAATGTTACTTTTTTTGGACAATAACTTCCAGAGTCCAATTTTAGGCTTCCTTACAATGCCTCAGGGCACTTACTCTACTTCTTCACCTTCCATTTTCCCTCATAACACCTTCTGTAAGACCACCAATGAACAGCAGGTACTGTAAGCTGAATTTCAAAAGCACCTCTGTAGTTTGAATCTATTGTTCCATGTCCTAGTTTCTAGAGCAGCAAAAAAAATAACCTTGCTACATCTTCTATATGACACACATTCAAATATTTAAACATGGCTATCATCACCTTTCAACCATCTCTTTTTCAGACAAAACATACTAAGCTTCCCCTCATGATAATGTATAAACAGATTAATTAAGGACCTCTGTTGTCAATGTGCTCTACAACAAGGGTATGCAGAAATGCACGATAAAGCTGTGATGCCCATTAATTAAATTCAAATTGTGTGTGTGCATGCATACTCATGTGAGTTCAAGTCACTTGTCGACTTATGGTGATCCCATGAATTTCATAGGTTTTATTAGGCAAGAAATCCTCAGAGGTTGTTTTGCCATTTCCTTCCTCTGAAATAGACTCTACAGCACCTGGTATTTATTGGTGGTGTCCCAGCCAAGAACTAACCAGAGCTGACCCTGCTTAGTTTCCAAGATCAGATAAGATCTGGTGTCTTTAGGATATTTAGGTTATACATTCCAAGTTGTTGTTGTGTGCCTTCAAGACATTTCTGACTTATGGTGACGCTAAGGTGAACCTACGATGGGGTTTTCTTAGCTAGATTTGTTCAAAGGAGATTTGCCATTGCCTTTCCCTGAGGCTGAGAGTATGTAACTTGCTCAAGGTTACCCAGTGGGTTTCATGGCCAAGCTGGGAACTGAACCCTGATCTCCAGAGTCATAGTCCGACACTCAAACCATTATGCCACACCAGTTCTCATAATTCCAAGTTAGAGGGATATAATTTAAACATTTCCAAATATCAGAGATCAGGCAGGCATCATGACAGTCCTTGGCTGTATTATTATTTAAAATTATTTTTATTTCCTTATATCCTGCCTTTCTCCCAATTGTAGTCATTCTCCTAAAGAGAGTCCAAAAGGCTGATCCCTATCTATATGGGTATAAATGTATTTTAGAGTACTTCAAAGCCCCAGTGTATTGGGATCATTGACAGTCACTACATCCTTCTAAATGAAACTATAGAGGTAGGATATAAATCCAATAAACAAATGAATAAAAACAAAATATTCTCATGATATTATCCTGCCTCCTTTATGGAATTTTAGGGGGCATATCCAGGCACATTATCTTCCATTTGCAAGGCTGAATTAAGGTGGAACAGTTTCAAAACAAGGACTCACTTTGTGCACATGTGCAAGCTCCCCTTACATAATCAAAGGAGGAGTTGGCTCTGAACTTCCCTTCCCAGCTTGCAAGACATGAGCTTGAATCTCAGCAACACCTGCCTCTTCACTTGCTGGCGCTGAAAAATGGGTTTAGAGTAGGTAGAAAACATAACAAGCTCTTGGGGAAGGTAGGGAGAGAGATCTACAATCCTCTTCTCCCAGAGTATTTTTCTCTTGGCAGCATCACTGTACAAGAGTCCCATTTGTTCAATTGCACTACTGTAATTCTGCCTTGTCCAGTTGAAACCCTGCCATGTTTGCTTAATGCAAATAATTTTTTACTTCATTTGATACATAATTTATTAAATACGTCAGGCCAAGCCCTTTCCTTTCTGAGTGAAAGTTATTCTGTGCATGCTCTGATGCACTGATCTTAAGGAAACAGAGATCAGCCACAAGGACCTTCACAGTTTGCATCAGAGTGTTTCCAGCACATTTATTGGGTTCATGGAAGGTCAGCCACATTTTAAAAAAATAAAAGCATAACTTAAAAAAAAAACACTACTAAATGGCCAAAATCTCAAATAAAAGCCATGGCCGGTAACAACAAAATGGGTCTATTAAAAAAAATCTGGAAATTGGAAAGCTCAAAAAATTAAATGCCAACCAAGGTCACCCAGTGGACTTCCACATTTTCAAAGTTCTGATCTAAAGCATGTGGCCATGCACTGCACTGGCATGTATTTATGGTAATGAAACAACCCTAAAAAATAAATTATTCTGGCTCCAAGAGAGAGATAGAGTAGACAAACAAAATGAATACAGATTTCATTGTGTGAAACAGGGGGAGTTCTCTCTCCCGCCTCCTAAGAACATATTACTCTACCTTTGTTAGAAAAGGGAAATCAAAATGATCAGAGGCTCATATACTCAGCACTTATATGCTCTACATTCCAGCTGTGCTGTAATATTGTAATAAAAATGTTTTGCCAGTCATTGTTATGCCAGTGCCGTTTAGCAGCTTGCTTCCAATATTGCATTACAAAAATTACATATTTCATATAATCAGGTCTGTCTCTTACTTAATCATCCTACACTACAAATAAATCTTTAAAATGGACAGGTCCATAAATCACATGCATTTTTTCATTTTGGATCTTATTCTAAGCCAGGCAGATTCTTATTTAAATTGCCCCATGAATAAATCTAATAAACCTTATTCACTTACATCATCTTAAACTTTAAATCTTGTTCTGACTGAGGTCATAAGTGAAATCAGTATTGAGGGCAAAACTAGCAGCTGTAACAACTGTAATAGCTTGCCAAATTATATTAAATGTCTCAAATAACATTAAAAATGAGGGAGAATTGAATTACTTTATTCAAGCATGTTATGCTGAATCAAGCAAATATAGGCCTTAACCAGAATGTGACTGTACTAAATTTAGCATATGATTCCCTTTAATTTGGGAGTGAAACCACCTGCTATCTGTACAATGAGATATATGTTACACAATGTCTAAAATTTGGTGAATATTGAGATTCACATGGAAATACTGACAATTTCTTTTTTTTAAAGGTTTTTATAAATATTATTAATAAAATGTATCTAAACAGCATCATATTGACAGTTATACATTTTCCACATCATATTTAATTCGTTACATTTATATGAAAGTTGATCATGTATGAAAAAGTGATAAATTCAATTCCTACTACATCTGCAACTACTAGATTTCTACTACATCTGGTTTTATAGAACATTTGCTTAGCTCAACCTTTACAACTTCTGATTCACCCATCTTTTTGCAGTCTTAACACCTTGAGATCTATTAAGTACAGCTCTTAAAAAAATTCTTCTCTAATTTACTTATTTATCTAGCTATCCCATTTATTTTTGCAAAATTTTACAACAGGGTTATCAATAATATTCAAATCTTTGTTGTTTAATCTAGCATATAGTTTGTCCATTTCACACATTTCAACTAGTTTCAATAACTATTCATCTATCATTGGTATTTTCTCAGATTTCCAGTACATTGCCCAGACTATCCTAGCTGAGGTTATCATACATAATACTTATCTCTATTGTTCTTTCTCTGTCATTTCTGGTAGGTTATTTGTCATATTTAACAAGTACAATTCAAGTATCATATGGAAGTTAATTTGAAATATTTTGCTAATTGTATTTTTCCTCAAAATTTCTTAATTTCCTGACATCACCACCACATATGGATCTATGTACCTTTTGCTTTTTTATATTTCCAGAATTTATCTTGTTGGGTCTTACAGATCTTTGAGATCTTTTGTGGTGTAAGATACCAGCATTGTGCCATTTTTAAAAAGTTTTCTTTCAGATCCTGTGAATATGTAAATTTTTGAGTCTTTTTTCTTGCTTTTTTCCAATTTTCCAGTTCAATCTTATTTCCAGGATCTTTTGCTCATTGGATCATTGTTTCTTGGATTTGTTCAGTTTCCTGCTCTCTCTCTCTAGGAGTAAATTATAAAGTTTAGATTCCCCCCCCCCCACTGAAAATTATTTTATCTAGTTCATTTTTCTCATGTTCAAATCCTTCCAGGTTCATATCCCTTAAATTTTTCTTTTAATTGTAGGTATGGGAAACAATATAATTTATAGTCTATCTTCCTCAATTCTTCTATTGTCTTTATGTTAATCTGATTTCGTTGGTCTTTTATCAATATGTCCTCATATCTCAATCATTTATGTAGTCTCCATCTTCTTTAAAACACATCTTGTGGAGAGATCCAAACTGGGATTCTTCTATAAAATTTCTTTTTCAGTTTGATCCAATTTGTTAGTAATGATTTCCTAATAAAATGGTTTTCAAAATCTTTATGGACTTTTGCTTTTCCATACCACAGGTACGCGTGCCATCTGAATTGATTGTTGAATCCCTCCAATGCTAACATTCTATCATTTTCTAGTTTGATCCAGTCCAACACCTACAACAATGTGTTAGCATTATAAAACAATCTTAAATTAGGGATGTTACAACTGCCATTTTCAATTTTATTCTAGGTTTGCACCCTGCCCATATGAAATTTTTGAGATCTTTTTGCCATTGCTGAAATGGTTTTTCATTGATTATAATTAGGATATTTGGAATAGAAAATTTATCTTGGGGGGTACTGTCATCTTTACTGCTGCAATTCTTTCCAATAATGTTGGCCAGAGTTTGGACCATTTTTCTAAATCTGTTTTTACTACCGTCCATTTTTTTTAAATAATTGTTCTCAAACAAGTCTGGGTTCCTTTTTATAATTCTTATTCCAAGAAATGTCACCTTTTTTTGTAAGTTTGCAACCTGAACTCTTTTCAATGTTTTCTTTTTCTATTTTGGTAATATTCTTTGTTATAATTGATGTTTTCTCTCTATTTATTTTAAATCTGGAAAATCTGCCAGACTTTGACATTTTATTCATTAGTTTCTCAATTCCTTTTATTGGATCTTCCAAGATTATTGTCAAGTCATCTGCAGAAGCTCATAACTTATATTCATGTTCTTTGATTTTGAGACCTTGTATTTCTCGATCTTTTCTTATACTTTTGTTCAGTATTTCTAACACCATTATAAACAATAAAAGTGATAAAGGACATCCTTGATGGGTACCTTTTTGAATTTTGATTTCTTGTGTCTTTTCTCCATTAACTATTATTTTAGCTGTTTGGTTAAGGTAAATTTGTTTTATCCAATCCAGAAATCTATTACTTAATTTCATTCTTTTGAATATCTTCAGCATACAATCCCACTTAACACTGTCGAAAGCTTTCTCCGCGTCTACAAATATAAACACTGCTTTTTTCTCGTTATGCTTTTCATAATATTCTGTTGGATCTATTATTGTCCTAATATTCTCTTTCACATGTCTTTTGGGAAGAAAGTCAGATTGATCAATCAGCACTTTCTTCAGTCTTTCCGCCAGGATTGCTGTATAGATTTCATAATTTTGATTGAGAAGTGAAATTGGTCTATAATTTTGAGCTTTAGTTTTATCTCTCCCTTCTTTATGTATTAGAACAATGTTTGCTTCTCACCATGTATCTGGCATACCATTTTTCTGGATGTCATTAAGTGTTTCTAAGAGGGGTAGTCTTAACTCTTCTTCCAATTTTTTATAGTAAGTGGCTGGTAATCCATCCAGTCCAGGAGTCTTTTCAATCTTCAATGTTTTTATTGTCTCCATTATTTCTTCCATGAATGAGTGAATGGTGCATTCAACATCTTTTGTTGTTCTAGTGATATAGAGTCTATCTTATGTTTATCCAAGTATCTTTCCACTAGTTCCTTGTGATGAACACTATCTTCTTCTTCTCTATGATCCTCCTTATAGAATTCTTCATAGAATTTCAGAAATTTGTTTTTAAAATCCTCCTGTCTTGTAAAAGTTTCCTCTTCTTTTAGTTCTTTGATAAAATTTCTTTACTTTTTTTGTTTGCTAGCCACTTTCCAGTTTTGTTGGAGTGTTCAAAGTGTTTCTGTTTGACTTGTCTCATTTTCCTTTCTACCTGATTTGACAATTCAGTTTCCAGTTGTTTTCTTAATAATTTAAAGTTTTTATCT